TGTGTGTATACATACATATATATAGCATTATATTGTGGAGATGAAAAAAACACCTAAAGTGAAAAATTCACTAGGGATATTCAACAGACCAGACAAACAAAATTAGCCTCAGCAAATGTTTAAAAAGTCTAAAATTCAATAGTCAGAGGAACACTAAATAAAAACACTGATTATCAGTAAGAAAGCCTCGGGACATACTGGGCACTATCAATGGGAGTGATATATGCATTCTAGGAGTTTTAGTATGAAAAGGCAGTAAGAAAGAAACAGGAATACTATACAAAATGAAAAATTTTAAATTCTCAAATCAGGGAAAAGAAATGGATATCCAAAACCAGAAAGCAAAAGTAATTCCAAAGAAATTGATCACAAGAGGTTGACACAAAGATACATGATAATTACCAAAGTCAATATGAAGAGATTTTGTCTTGGGGTTATTTATTCACTTAATGTGACAGAAATACATCATTTTTTGCATCCTTGCTAGTGTTCTGTCAGGACAGGATTTCCCCCTTCACGTGCAGTCACCACTGGGTACCATGACTGGTGCCGAGTCCTCTACCATAGTCCATTGTGATCCTACTCTCCCTCCGTCCCCCATTCTCACCCCTCACCCCCACCCTCCAAAAGCCATGGATGTATCTGTGGTCAGCTTTCAAGAGCTGATTTTAAAAGTTTGTCACAAAGAGGATTTTGAAAGCAGTAAAGAAAAGAAATAATAAAAGCATCACAACCAGGAAAAACGCCTAAGAATCTATATGGATTTTTCCCACAGAATTCTTGCGGAACACAGGGATTGGAGTGACACCAGTGTGGTGCTGAAGAAAGGATGAAACAAGGCAACATCATGCAGCGAAAATGAGGGCAGATAAAAGCTTTGCAGACAAACAAAAGCTCAAGGAGATTATCACTAGACCTACCCAAACAGACAATGGGATGAATAACAAAATAAGATGTCTGGAGTTTAGAATAAGTTGATTAACAATAAATATATATAGGATGCTGCATAATTGTGATGGTAGTAGGTGAATGTTTTCAATTCTGTTACAAAAGTTAAAAAACAAAAGTATTAAAAATATAACTAAAACAACATGTTACTTGATACACAATAATAGATTTAAAAGCTACCTTAACATACAAAGTGTGGGGAGAAGTAGAATCACAGGTAAACTCTCCAACTTAAGACCTTAAGTACCACAGTACCCACAAAGAAAATATATACAAAAATTATAAAAAATAAAAGGGATCAATATATGAAACCAGTTATTCAATGAAAACCATAATAGAGAGAAAACCATAATAGAGAGAAATAGAAGTACCCAAAAAAATCGATTTTCAAAATCTACAATATTTTTTTTCTAACCAGTAAAGATTTTAAATGTAAACCAATTAAAGGCATCCCCCAAAAAACAGAATTTTGATTGGATAAATAAAAAAGATGCAAGTGTGTACTGTCTGAGTAAGTCACATATGTTGGAAGGAAAATATATTTTCCTATATATAAAATATATTTCTTCTTCCTTCCTATATATAAAATATATTTCATGCAAAAAGCATCCAAGCGAGATGAGGGATGAAGATAAATTGCTATAATGAATCTACTAAAGAAAGTTTTAGGGATATGTATTTAAAACTCATACTAAGAGCAGCCATGACAGATATATATGCTCTTACTAAGTGTTTGCATAATTTTTAAATGACAAAACACTTATGAACTTTAATATTATAGGATAAAACATTGGCAATTATCTTCCATACCATTTCCAAATGACCTTTTCTTTGTGAGAATCATTTTAATTCAACTTTTCCAATGAACATTAAATATAATGGCATTAACACTGTGTCAGCGTAAGTGCACATGTACTGAGTTGACACATTTATGTATTATTTTAGCTAATGCTTTCTTCATGCTACAAATACCATTCCTTTATTTATTTATTTATTTATTTGTTGATGACAACTTTGAGGAGCTACTCTCCTAGCACTTTCAAGTACATATGCTATAGAAATAATGGAATCTTATACAACCATGAATAAAATCCTGTGTTTTACTACACTATGGATGGTATAAGAGAACATTTTGTTAAGTGAAATAAGTTAGACAAAGAATACTATATGCTGTCACTTTTATTTGAGGGAAAAAATAAGTCTACATCTAATTACAGAGAGTATCACAATTTGATTAATTCACCAACAGTTTCTTTCAAATTTCCCTTCTCAGTTATAGTCTGAGGACTTTCATCTCTTTAAATTCCATCAAGGAGAAGTCAGTGGAAACCATCAAACCATGGGTGACTTAGTTGCCCCTAACAACTCTGAT